ACATCCTGATACAGCAAGGTTGCAGGTTTGATCCCATCAGAGTACATACAAAAATCAACTAATGCATGCATAATAAATAGAACAACAAATTGATGTTTCTCTCTCTCCCTCCTCCCCCTTAAATAAATAAATAAAAATTTTAAAAAGAAACAGGATTGCTTTTAAAAAATAGAATTCTCCAGGCCTCTGGGGGGCCTTGAGCCCCACGGGGACCCTTGAGAGTGGGTGACTGAGCGGAGATCTCTGCTTCCTTCCCTCCGATGAATTCATAGGGAGAGGACCTCCTCGGGCTCCTTTATGCCTCCTTCCTGGCCAAGCGTGGAGCTGTCTTCCTCTCAGGCTTCACCAGGGCTCTGGAGACACAACTGGAGGGAACCTGGAGCGCCCAGACTTCCCTGTCCCTCCTGGGAAACCACAGGCTGGATTAAGTGGGCGTAGGGACCAGGCAGTAAGACTGAGAGAAAGAGGAGGATGATGCAGGGGCCCGCCAGCCAGTGGTGAGGACACCGTGGTCACAGTGGGTGAGGACACAGTGGGGGTGGACACAGTGGGTGTGGACACAGTGGGTGAGGTCACAGTGGGTGAGGCACCAGTGGGTCTGCTGGTTCTGTGAGCAGCGCCTCCTGCCCATGCCTGTCACTGCAGAGTGGAAACACCCTGCTCTTTAAGGCCTGGATCCATGGAACGTCGTGTCAGTGGCAACAGGTGAAACAGAGTTCTGGGAGATTATTATTTTATTTTTATTTCTTTACTAGAAGCCCAGTGCGCACGAAATCGTGCGTGAGTAGCTCGCTTCTGCTTGCCTCAGGTGACCCCACCGCCCACCCCTGCTCATAGCTCTAGCCCTGCCCTCCACCACTAGTAGCTCACTTTTCCACGCTGCCGGCCGCGAGAGCCACGGCTCAAATGGTCATGATGACCATGGGCCTTTTATTAATATAAATTTTTTTAATCCTCACTCGAGGATATTTCTCCATTGATTTTTTAGAGATAGTGAAAGAGAGAGGGAAAGTCAGTGAGAAACATCAATGTGAGAGAAACATAGATCGGTTGCTTTCTGCACCAACCCAGACTAGGCCCTGGGTTGGGGAGGCCATTGCAACTGAGGTACATGCCCTTGACCTTAATCAAACCTGGGACCCTTCAGTTTGCAGGCCAACACTCTATCCATTGAGCAAACCGGCCCAGGCTATTTTATTTTTTATGATGAAGAGGAAACAAACTTGTAAAGGAAACCCCTCTTTGGCCAATCCCTGCACATGCCTTTGGGGCTGCATTCTTGAGTTTAGTGAGTCCTGAGTTTAGTCAGTCTAGTAGTAGTTCTGAGTGCCTCGTGCTGGCCCTGAGTGCCCCCTGGTGTCCTGAGTGCCCCCTACAGCCCAGCCCTGCTGCCTCCCTGAGGGAGGTTTGAGCCTGGGCTCACACTGACTTCCCCTCACTGTGTGTCTAGCACAGTAATACACGGCCGTGTCCGTGGCTCTGAGGCTGGTCATTTGCAGATACAGCGTATTCTTGGCATTGTCCCTGGAGATGCTGAATCGGCCCTTGACAGAATCAGCATAGTATATGCTACCACCATAATCAGTAACGAATGAGACCCATTCCAGGCCCTTCCCTGGAGCCTGGCGAACCCAGCCCATCCAGTAGCTACTGAAGGTGAATCCAGAGGCTGCACAGGAGAGTCTCAGAGACCCCCCAGGCTGCACCAAGCCTCCCCCAGACTCCACCAGCTGCACCTCACACTGGACACCTGCAAACACAGAGACACAAGGTGGACTTAGAGTCACATGGAGGCAAAAACAGGCACAGGCACAGGTATCAGTGCTCCTACTCCTGAGAATGACCTTGAAAAATGATCAGGAGGAAAAGGCAGCTTGGCACCAAGTTCATAGTGGAGCCGCTGGGGTCCTGTCTCAGGCACGTGGGTTCTGGGTGTCTCCCCAACATGCAGTGCAGGGCCCCCTTTTATGAGCAGGAGGAGAGCCCCATTTGCATGGAGTCTGGATATAAGGGTGCAGCTGGGACCCTGGGCTGCATGCCTGACCTTGTCATCCTCGGGGTGACCCCAGATGGGACAGGACTCAAGGATGCTGGCCACAAGGGGTCCCGTCTGAGCCACCCTCCCTCCCTCCTTTCCAAAGACCTGGTCACCCTGACCCCATTCCTTTGGGGGCAGCCTCCAGGATTGAGAGTCCTCCATTCTTGGGGTTTTGATGAGGACCCAGTGGTGCATAAATGGGACTTCCTCTCCCTCTCCTTCACCCGCCATGAGCCATGTTGCCTTTCTGGGTGTTGGGAATAAGAACTTGCATTGGATGATGCTTTTATTTTGAGACGGAAAGATTCTCTTTGTTGTTTTCCCCATTCAGATCTTCCACAAAACTCGAGGGTGTACATGTGACGGGGCAGGAGAGGCCAGGTGGATGCTGTGGCCACAGCCTCAGTCTGTAAACTGCTGCCCCTGTCACAGCTTGTAACTGCCTTTCCAAAACCACAGATTTCACTTCTCTTCCTTGCTGTTCGTGTGCAAAGGTCCTGTTTTCCCAGCCTCTCAAACTGGAACAAGTTCCGTCTTTCCAAATGGAGCCCTGGCTGGTGTTTTCCAGTGGTTTATACATTGGCCCGGGCATCACATGGTCTCGGGTTCAATTCCTGGTCAAGGTTGCAGGTTCTCTCCTGGCCCCGGTCAGGGTCATTGAGGAAACAACCAATCCATGTGCCTCTCTCACATAAATGTTTCTCTCCCCACCGACCCCCGCTACTCTCTTCCATTCTCTCTCTGAAAAGTAATGGAAAAAGTATCTTTTGGTGAGAATAAAAAAATAATAAAAGGAACATGTTGGCTTTTGGAAGCAAAACCCTGGGTAGAAATTGAGGCACCAAGTCGTCCTTGGGGGCAGGTGAGCCCCTCCCTTCTCGGTGACAGAGGGGCCACCTGCAGGTCAGTCCTCAGCTCTTCTTCTGGGTCCAGCCCCGTCCCACAACCTCTCTCTCTGCCCCATGCAGCACAGGCCCTGGCCAGCTCAGCTGGACTCGCTGGGGGTGAGGCCCCCACTCCCCCCACTCGCTTTGCCCGAAGAGGAGACCATGCCCAACCCAGGTCTGAGCGAGGTCAGCTACCCCAAAGCCAGGGGGCCGAGTGCCGGTTCCCAAGGGAATCCACAGCCCTTGTGTGGAGAGGGGAGACCTGCCCTGTGGACACATTATGAGCCCATTGCACAGCTGCACTAAGCAAGGCTCATCCATGAACTGCATCAGCTGCCCACACCGTGCTGATGGATGAGGTGTGCAGGGCGGCTGCCTCGTCCCACAGCCCTGCTCTTTGCTCAGCCTCAGACCCAGCTCGCACCTCCCCAGGCTGCTGGTTCAGAGACGCTGGGTCCTGGTTTAAAAGAAACACAGAGATGAGGGGTTTTCAGGCCTGAGAGGAGGAGGGGGTGGGAGTCAGTGTGCAATGGGGGCTGGGCTTCTCCAGGCTGCAATCAAAATGCTGTGGAGGTGGGCACAGGGGGTGATGGCCGCACAGCACAGCCAAAGTGCCACACGCCTCCGACTGTGCACTTTGTGGAAGAAACAAGGTCGACACGAGCCCAGGGACTGACAGTCACCTTTCAGGGTGATCTGGTCAGAACCCCCTAACTGGATCATTACGGGGGGGTCACCCCCAGGCCTTAACATTTTAGTAAAAGCTTCTCTTTGCCTAAAGCCAACCCTGCCCATAGTTCTTGAGCATCAAGTTCAACACTCCTTTAAAACAAGCCCTAACCGCCCTCAGGAGAGCACTCTTTTAAGTGCCTGCGATCCAACCCCCACTTGCCCCCTCCCACCTCCATGCAGCCTTCCTTCCTCCTCCTCAATCCCAAATGTGTCAGAGAAGCTGTGAGAGCAACTCTGACACTGGCATTCTCAGGGGCATCTGAGATCCTGCTTCCTTACAACTGTCCTAGGTTTGGCTCAGATCAACTCTTAAAAAATTCTCCACAGGTTTGGACATGCGTATGTCAACTACGTCAATGTGGTTCACGTATGTTGTGGGTTTTATGCCAATTCAACCACCAAGGGAAACCTGGAAACATGTCACAGGGGAGATGGGCACAGCTGGAGAAGCCTCGTTCCTAAGGAAGGGAACCTGACGTCCATGACAACCTACAGCAAACTTGTTTTCCCTCCAACACACGGGAACTCTTTAGACCTCATCCTGGCGAGGTCGCAGGTTTTTAATAATTGTGTGCACTTCCCTCTCCACACAGCGAAGAAGCAGGTATGAATGTATGTTGTAAATAAAGAAAAAACAACATATTGATGTAAGAAATGTCCAAACATGGAATGTTTTACAACCTTTTATTGGAGCCAAACTGTCAACTGTTGGGGAGCAAGACCTCAAATGCCCAGAGAATAACTAGGTGCAGCTGCGTTTGTGCATTTGAAGTTAAGGCGGGAAGGTGAGGAAGGTGACACGGAGGAGGGAGAGAGCGAGGCGGGGACTGGGTGACAGGACAGTTACCAGGAGGTGCTCTCCTGAGGGTGGTCATGCTGATGTCACAGGTGTGTCAACCCAGATGCACAGGAACAATGGATGGGGTTGCTCAAGGGAAAGATGAGCCTTTTAGTAAAGAAGTCATAGGCCTGGGGCGGGCCCACCCCAGGGCTGCCCAGTAGGAATGTGTGATTAGAGCCCCTGGGAGGGTCCTTTCAGTCCCTGGATTATGTCAGAATAAAGACAGAGCCCCTTTTATGATCATAATACAATCCCTAAAACTAGACATAGGAGAGGGCTTTCTGTGAGCTCTGTTGCTTGGAGCAAAACTATTTTAAGACAAAGCAGGAAATGTTATCTTTGCTTAACTCTGCACCTGGTCCTGGTCCTGGTCCTGTGCTGGTCCTCAGCGCCCCCTGGTGTTCTCGACGCTCCCTGCAGCCCAGCCCTGCTGTCTCCCTCAGGGAGGTTTGTGTCTGGTCTCACACTGACTTCCCCTCACTGTGTATCTCGCACAGTAATACACGGCTGTGTCCTCGGTGGTCACGGACCTCAGTTGCAGGGGGAACTGGTTCTTGGACGAGTCTAGGTCGATGACTAACCGACTTTGGAGAGATGGCTCGTACCGTCTGTACCACTTGGAATTGAAGTAGATCCTTCCCAGTCACTGGAGCCCTTCCCCTGGGGGCTGCCTGATCCAGTCCCAAGTGGCAGTGTTGCTAGAGACACTGTCCCCAGAGATGGCACAGGTGAGGGACAGGGTCTGCGAGGGCTGCACCACCGTGGAGCCCGACTCCTGCAGCTGCACCTGGGACAGGACACCTGGGACAGAAGGAAGCAACAAGTTTAATTCAGTCCACATCTCTGTGAACACAATTATGAACCCCCAGGTCCCCAGACACTGACCCCAAGGGAGCCCCAGCACGGGAAGGAAGACGAGGAAGAAGACAGCCATGTCCCTGGGTCAGCCAGACTCAGCAGGCTCTGCGGCCCCAGTGGTGGCTGTATTTACACAGGAAGCCACGCCTGGCATTTGCCTGAGCATCGCTCTCTGATATAAGGCCCCGGGTGCACACAGCCCACTGACGCACGGACCCCAGTTCTGCAGCCAGATTTCTCCAGAGCCGGGTCCTTGGGCAGGTGGAACCCAAGGCAGGGGCCACAGACAAGGGTGATCATACATGGGCCTGTGGGTGTGGCCATGTGGACCTTACACCAATTCCAGAGCCTGTTCACCCACATTAATTGATTGGACTTCATTCATTCATTGATTCCACCAGCACTGAGGGCCACTGACATACCAATATCCCTCTCGGTAACAAGGACAAATCATTGAAGAGACAGAGGCCCTGCCCCCGTGTTCTGGGGTCAAACGCCAGTTGCTTGTTGGTTAGACACACACCATGTACCCCCAGAGCCCGGCAGCTGGGGATTCTGGGAGCAGAGGGCACAGGTGAGCGCATCCTCAGACCAGGGGACCCACAGGGGAAGGACATAGTCCTGGGCTTCGTTTTGCTTCCTGATGAGGTGCCTCACGCTGGGCACAGGGAGTGTGGCCTAAAGACCTGCCCTAGGGGTTCCCAGGGCCCAGGGGCAGCTTTGGGAACTGGATGGGGATCTTGGTGGGCGGGGTGGGGGGTGGGATGTGACCCACAGGGGCCGCCCCAGTGCCTCCTGGCTTCTCCTTGAGGTGCAGGGGGCTCACAGAGAGGAGGCACCTTTTCTATTCAGAGATGACGTCATTATTCACATGGAAAATCCTAAAGAATCTGGAAAACAGACCTGGACACGACTTGGTGTGTAAGCACCAACCAGCCAGAAAATGCATCTGGAAAGAAAAACAACCACTGCCACCCGCTGCGAGGCAAAAACACAGAGAGAAAGCACCTAAGGATCAACCTAAAGCCTGACGCCAGGCTCTGCCCACGGGAAGTGATAACACGTGGTCAGGAGTCCTGACGCGGGTGTGACCCAGAGAAACCAACACGCTTTTTCAGCAAAAGGCTTCACACCATGTCCACACCCACCGTGTGAGGCCGCTGTCATTCTTTATTCAAAAACTGAGCTGTGTCTGAGCTCCATCATCATTCCTAGGGGAACATGCACATGGTCCTCCCTGGGCTTGGTACTAAGACTGGGTTTCCTCTAACCATTTCTTACTTTTTTTTTTAAACAAGATTCCTTTATTTATGTATTTAGTTTTGTTCATCCTCACCCAAAGATATTTTCCCACTTATTTTTAGACAAAGTTGAAGGGAGCAGGCAAGGCAGAGAGTTATTGGGACACATTGAGTAGTTGCCTCCTGCAGGCATGGATCCAGGTTGCAACTGAGGCCTGTGCCCTTGATAGGAATTGAACCAGGGACCCCTCAGTCTGAAGTCTGATGCTCTATCCACTGAGCCTCATGGGCTAGGGCCCCTCCTATCATGTCTAGTTAACACTGTGAGGCCCCAGCACAGTATGCAGGCAGCCAGGGTCCTGCCAGGTGGACCAACAGACCTGGGGGTTGTCTGTGTTTCTGGGATGAGGGGAACTAGGGTGGAGAGGCCCCCAGAAGGGCAGTCCCAGGTGCCAGGGTACAGGGGTGCATGGGGAGCTGGGCTGGAACCTCTCTCCAGAGACTTAATGAGGAAGAACCACCCAGACCCCTCTCCTGCAGGCTGATGCTGGGCCTCGCTGTGGGGGACCCACCTGAAGCCAGGTGGTCAGGCCCCATGAGACTGAGGGAAACACGAACCTACATTAGGGAAAAGTCTGTTTTCCCAGGTGCCAGGATAGAGCACCTTCAACATGCATGTAGTTTCAATGTCAGTTTAAAAGCTCACTGAGCACCTCCCCAGCTTTACACCCCAGTGTGTTTTCTGGGGACCTTGGAATGATCTCTGAAGTGTGACCACTAGGGGCACCCTCTCCCCACTTCTGTGGGAGGCCAGACATCAGGGGGCTTCTGGCTCCCAGGTGCAAACCTACTTCCTGTCCTAAAGAGGCTGGAGGTCTCATGTTCCCTGGGATCAGGTCAATGAGCAAACACATGAGGCCCCTCCAGTCACCAGGGGATTTAGGGTGAACTCTGGGTGACAAGTGGTGCTGCCAAGTTCCTCCTGAGGCTGCACCTCTGTGAAAAGCTGTGTTTCTGTGGATGGTTTCCCACAAGAACTCAGTTCTCTCCCCTTATCTGCTGCTTTGACAACCCCACACAGGCAACACCACTGCAGTTATGTTAAGTCTCCAAATAGATCCATTTTTGTGTATTGAGCCGTGATTTTGAAGTCGATTCCTTTGATTTTTCTTCATATATAACTATGTCACGCACAAGTAGGGACACCTGGTATCTCCATTCACATTTGAATGTCTCTATGCATCTTTCTTGTCTTATTTCACTTGTTCAAACGTCAAGTACAATGTTGAATAGAAGTGGTAAGAGTGGACCTTTTTTACTTTGTCCCCATCTGATGGGGAATCATTTAACTTCCCACAATTGAGTATGGTAATAGCTACAGGAGTCACATGATCAGATTGAGGAAGTGCCCTTTTATCCCAAGTTCCCTAAGCGAGTTTATCATGAATGAATGCTGTGCTTTGTCACACACTTTTCTGTATCAATTTTTATGATCATGTGAATTTTCTTCTTTACACAGTTGACCTGATGGATTACATTGGTTGATTAAAACATATTAAATCAGCTTTGAATTGTTGGGATAATTCCAGCTTTGTCATGATGTAGTATGGTTTTCTTATATTGCTGGTAGGATTGGCTAATATTCTGTTGAGGATTTTAGTAAATATGTTAACAAGAGATTTTGATCAGTAGTTTACTATTTGTACTGAGTACACGAAGAATGCCAGTCTCATAAGAATGCATTGGGGAACGTGTTTATATCTCCTAATTAATTTCTGATATTGGTCATTTGTCTCTTTGCCAGTCTTGTGAGCATTTGATTAGTTTTATTGATCTTTCCAAATATTCAGCAGTTGGCACCATTCATTTTTCTCTATTATTTTTCTGTTTTTATTTCATTAATCTTTCCTTATCTTTATTTTTCCTTCCTTCTGCTTGATTTTAGGTGATTTTGATCTTCCTTTTCTAATTTCTTTAAAAAAAATCTTTGCTATTGAGAGTATTACTAATGTTCACCCTTTTGGCCCCCATATCACCCCTCCGCCAATTCCAGCCCCACCCCAGGACCTCATCAACCCCCTATCTGTGTTCATAGGTAATGCATATGCATACGAGTTCTTTGGTTCTCTTTCTACCCTCCTCTCCCTCTTCCCTCTGAGGTTCGTCAGTCTGTTCCATGTTTCCATGCCTCAGGTTCTATTTTATTCATCAGTTTATTTTGTTCCTTAGATACTTTGTTCATTTATTTTGGTTCTTAGATTCAATTGTTGATAGATATGTATGTATTCTATTATTTTATTCATATTTTTTATTGATTTCACAGAGGAAGGGGGGGGGAGAGAGAGAGATAATAGAGAATCACTGATCAGCCACATTCTGCATGTCCCCCAACGGGGATTGAGCCAGCAACTTGGGCATGTGCCCCTGGCAAGAAACAAACCCTTCAGTCAGCAACCCTATGGTCTATCCACTGAGCAAAACCGGCTAGGGCTTTGTTCATGTTCCTTCTTCTTCTTCTTCTTCTTCTTCTTCTTCTTCTTCTTCTTCTTCTTCTTCTTCTTCTTCTTTCTTCTTCTTCCTCTCCTTCTCCTTCTCCTTCTCCTTCTCCTTCTCCTTCTCCTTCTCCTTCTCCTTCTCCTTCTCCTTCTCCTTCTTTTTTTTCCTTTGCCTCCCCTCTGGCTTCCCAGAAGGTGAAAAGTCAGCCACTACATGGAGGCACCAAGCAGGAGCTACAGGGGGATCTGCAGATGACTGCTACTTGTATTGGGCTTGGAAGTGCCCAGGCAAGTACAAGTTGTGAAGCATGGCAGACTGGCACTAGTGCTGGGTCTTGGGCCACTTATTGATAGTTTTGGGGCATGCTGATGCCATCTGCTGCTTGTTTGAGAGATTTTAGGAGAGTCTGAAACCTGAGCCAGGATAAGCCATTCAAATGGAAAGGCTGCTGGTAACAGTTTGGATGGGGCTGCAATTTGGATGGGGCAGGTTCTCAGGGAATCACCAGGGCAGAGCAAACTGTGTGAGCCACACTTATGGAACCTCAGATATGGCATCCAGGCTGCAATGCAATGGGGGAGGTACCAGCACAGAAACAATGACTCCTGTGAGCAAAGCCACCCCAAGTTCCTGCCATAATGCCAGACAATCCAGTTATTTCCTGTCTGTCCCAGGATACCCCAATTCCACCCCCTATGGCTGGAGCTCAGAGGAAGCAAGACCCTGTAAGTTCCTGTGCTGACCCTTTAAGAGGTACAGCCTGGGCCTCCAGCTGCCTCCATGTCACTAAAAGACAATCATTTCTGGTTTTTGGAACCTGAAGTTATGAGGACTTCTCTTTCAAGCTCTGGAACCCTCGGTTCAAGGTCTTGTGTAGGGCTGGGACCCTTTGCTTCTCACAGGAGGCCTCTACATCTGAGATATCTCTCCCAAATAAAAACACGCCACATGTGGGTGTCGGACTAGTATGTTCCCCACCTCTGCCCTTCCTACCAGTCTTGATGTGCTTTCTTCTTTACATTCCTAATTCGGAATGATGGTTGTTCTCTATTTTAGTTGTACATTCCATGTGGTTGTGGGAGGCAGCGAGAACATGCATTTATCTATGCCTCCAAATTGGTCCTCACCATTTTCCAATTTTTTAAAGTGGAGGCGTATGTTATTGTTTTAAAGATCTTTGTTTCTTTCTAACACAAGCATTTAATGGTATACGTTTTTCTAAGCACTTCTCTAGCTGCATCTCAGAAAATTTGATATTTTGCAATTTCATTTTCATCCAGTTTTGACATATATTTTCATTAGTTTAGAATTCTACCTTGATGCTCCTTCAATGCTCCTTCAGCTCTTTAGAGTCATCA